TTTTTTTTTTTTGTTTTTTTTTTTTAACTGAAAGTTCATTAAATGTACTAGTAATTGTGTTCTGTTAGTAGCATATGACATTATATTTGCTGAAGAGAACACAGATGTAATTAAGTTAAAGTATATTTACTTTGCTTAGATTTTACTCAAGTAAAAGTGCCCACCTAAAAATCTACTTGAGTTAAAAAGTAAAAGGAAATACTTACATTTCAGTATTGAGTAAAAGTTACTTTGTTACTTTAAATTACTTTTACTACTTTACTATTACTCCAATCTGCAACTCTTTTTTAATCAACAATTCAAATACAATACAATAATGCAGTGTTCCCTCTCTATATCGCGGTTCTTCTTTTTCTCCCTCAGTACATTGCATTTTTTTTATTTTTAAATTTGATCTCGCGAAACTTTTGCTATATTGCGAAATATGACAAAAATAACCTAAAAGACATTATATAATAAATATGCTGCATGGACTTTACTATATGCTTTTTAAGCCCCTGCAGGCCACACCATATGGCTTGGTGGGCCACATTTTGGCCCCCGGGCCTTGGGTTTAACACATGTGACTTAGAGTGGACAGTCAAACTTATCCTACAGGTTTTTGGGGACTGTGGGGAAATAGAGTAAGTCATTTTACATTAGTCTCTGGTCTCTCCAGAGGCAGTTAATGATATATTTTAATGATCTCCCAAAAGAATAAATCATTTTCACACTGCAGCACCAAAAGGTAAAATCTCATTATTAGTGAACATGAGTTCAGAGTATGCAGTATATGTAATGGAATTAAATTTTAGAATATATAAAAAGGGCAATATATAGTATAAGGGTCCAGCCTTGGACCCACTAATCTTGTACAAATGACTTAATCCAAATGTAGTAGCCTTTTTATCTACTAAGGTTTTAATCGATGAAGAGATTAGATGCAACCTTCCCAAAAAAATGCAACCTTGTGCTTACTTTTATAAAAGATTTTGATGTGCAATGCACAAAAGGATAATCCGGGCCCTGGTTCTGGTCACCCCAGCTGTCTAGGTCCCGGGTACCGCAATGGGCACATTCGGCCAAAGTTGACCTACCATCCAGGTTTTCACCTTATTTCAAAGTTTCTTGGTGGCCAACAATGTCCTGTGACACCAAACAGTTCAACTTGGCATGTACCACTTGCTTCCCATAGTTGTTCAACAGAACTCTTACAATCTTTGGAGACACCCGGTCTCCCATGATCCCATGTAGCGGTGGACCTTGACACCATTTCATCCCTCTTCCCAAGTTGCCTTGAGCCTCAGAGCGGACCTCTTAGTTCTTCATCTGTTGCACTGACCCATCAGACATAGTCTCATAAATTGTCAGGTCCTGGAAGCCTCAGCCAGTCACACTTCCAGTTACCAACCCCCCAATCAAATGGACAAGCAGAGAGGGCTAATCAAGACCTGGGTGTGACTCACCGACCACCCTGCTAATTGGTGTTCCTTTTTTACCCTGGGTTGAATATGCCCACAACTCACTATCCTCGTCCGCCACATGTATGTCACCTTTCCTTGTCTCTTGGCTACCAACCTGCCTTGTTTCCAGAATAGTAGGTGGAGGTGGCAGCCAACAGACACTGGGTCAAAGGGATGATTATCAACTAAAGATTTACCTATACAAGCAGAGAGTCGGAAGCTGGAGCGCCGGTACATTGGTCCTTACGAGTTAGACAAAGTCATCAACCTTATGCTGGTTATCCTGAAGCTTCCTGTTCCTTTTAGATTCATCCTACGTTCCACGTGTCTTTGCTTAAGCCGGTGTCCTTCAGTCTGTAGAGATACATGACAGTTTTCTGGGTTTGTTGCTTTAGTTTTCGTAGTATGCATGATATTGATGGTTTCTATAGAAATATAACTATAATGAAGTTATTAATTACTATTATTATCTCTTTTTTTTTAACAGGTGGATTTGTTCAGGGCAGGATGCTACTGAGGGCCCAGGTGAGGAATGCACTGTACACCACCGGTAAAAGCTTTGACTACAGTACCTACTGCCTCGGAAATCTGCTAAGTTGATGGTACATCTACATATTGAAGAGACTAAATACTGGCCAAAACAGTGTAGACAGTCGGTATTTACTTGCGAAAAAAGCCTGGTATCCCTCGTGTGTCCATGTGAGAAAGAAACTTGTATTAGTCAGTTATGGAGTAGCTACATCTATACCAGTGGTCCCCGACCTTTTTTGTTCCAAGGACTGGTCAGCCAGTACCACCTGTTACTACAGGACCCATGATCTGTACAGTCTTCCATTTACAATCGGCCCTTCAAGGGGGAACTGTATTGCTGATATGGCCCCCAGTGAAAATTAGTTTGACACCCCTGGTCTATAGCAATTAATCAGTAGGGCTAAAACTGATGTGATCCAGATCATTGTATTTCCCTTGTAGTACAGTGTACTTTATTGTACTACAATCCCAAGTGATACAGATAAAAATCAAGACAAACGTTGTTTGGAATTGAATGCTTGAGACTTTATTGACTTAGGTGGTATATGGCTGCATATTTTTCAGAACTCTACAAATACATTGGAGTTAGAAAGATGTCAGTCAAAGAATTTAATAGTTGGCCATGGTACTTCCCAGCCAGTTGTTGAAGATACAGACCTGTAAACAAATGTGAAATTACCCTCTTTTTTTTTTTTTTTTTTAGAACTGACAGTCAAATAATATTAATTTAAAATGTTCAGAATTAATAGTTG